AGCCGAGCTCCAATTTTGGAGCTTTGCCCACCAGCATGCCGTTATGAATCATCACCGCCCGCGTCGTGGCCAGCCTTCACCAGTTCACCCCGTGCAAATTCCTCTACACCACTAGCTCGCCTTGGCTCCCTCTCCACCATGCGCACGCCAGTGGGAGCGCTACCGCCTCCCTACTGCCGCTAACGCGGTCGTGTTCGCCGTGGCTTGTCGTCGTGCTCGCACATGCACGCGCACGTGGCCAGCCTTCCTCCATCATCCTCCACCCCAACCGTCACCTCGGGCAGATCCATGGTAGCCTCTTGATGCTCACACGTTAATCAATTAGGCCTATAGCTTCCCTAGCTCACCAGAGCAGGGGCACCGCCGTCGCGGATAGCCACGCATCGCTGCAGCTTTCCCGAGCTAGTCGTGCCACCCTGTACCGCCGCTTAGCATAGCCACTAGGGTCGGAGATGGTGATCGACCCGTTAGGTGGGCCCGTGTGGGTCCCAGGTGGCCGGCGTAAGAACTCAGTGCCGCCGCTTGCCGCGCCGCCGTGCATGGAGTCACCGAGGATACACGCGGGTGAATTAGGGAAAGTCCAGGGGGTTAAGTGAGAAGTTATGAGAGAGAAGGAAATAGTGTGGTACTTAGTTGCAATTCGGAAGAAGTGCGATGACTATTTTGCAAGAATGTCAGCACGTGCGGGATTTCCCCATAGCGGGTCGTCTCCGTGCGGGTCGGCGTGGGCCGCACGAGAGAATGCGTTTTTCTTTTTCATGAGGCATTAGAAATAGTTTTCTAATATAATTTTTGAGCCGATCTTTAGTAAATCATATAAAATCATATAGGTATCCAAAAATTATGAAACAAATTTTGTTAGGATCCTAAAATTGTGCTATATCTGTTAGTGTATTTAGTTCATATATGTGCTTGTTGATACCAAGAGCTATTAAATCATTTGAGAGTGCTCAATATTATTAAGTTAATTATTGTAGGAATTTTTGTGGTAGATTGGTGATAGAAAAAACTTTAAAATTTTTATAGTAGGTTCATTGTATTATTATGTGCTCACTGTAATTTTTGTAGCCCTAAAATAGACTATTTAATATGGTAGCTAAATACTCATTATGGCTAAATAAATAATGGCTTGATATTGGTTTATAAAATTAAGCACTTGTAGGGTGAGCTTGGAATCTATTTGGTAAAGATGATAGTTAGCTTAGTGCCTTAGTCATTAGAGCTAGCTTATTAGCTTAGCATGTGTATTCTTATTTTAAGAGTTGCTGTTGCATAAATACTAAGTGTTTCATCACCATTGCATGCATATAGAGAACGAGTTGGTGGAGATCGTGACCACCAACGATCACGAGTACGAGGAGGTGATCGAGGAGTACGAGGAGGAGATCCTCATGCAGGAGGAGGTCCCAGAGCTGTCACTAACTGACTTAGCTGACAATCCATCTGTCCAAGACAAGCCTCGGTGCATAACCTTTATTTTAGATAATCACTGAATATATATATCCGTGATGTGCATTTACGTTACAGGATCTATATTGAAACTACATGCATAGATAAACCTACCTATGAGTCCTACTAGCATAGGTCGAGTAGCTCTTATGCTTAGGCTATCGGTAGCGTGAGTAACTTGCCGTTACTTATAATATGTGATTATTATTACTCTCATGATAAAATGGTAAAAGAAAATGGAGACCGGACATGGTTATGGTATGGGTATTGGTGGGTATAATATGTTGTGTCCCACGGCCAATGGGGCATAGCTTGGTTACACTATTTTTCATGTCCGTGTCAGTTAAGGACCGTTCGTTGCAGTGGATTCTAGTCAGGTCACAGACTTATTATCCTGAGCACATACTTGCTTATAGGAGCGGGAAGGCTCGTTGCTCTCTTGTCGTGGGTTCCGACTCATTCCGGACCGATTGATTGGAGGCGGGGATGGTGGAGGTCTAAGCACTACACTGAGTCCGGGACTCAGGAGTGGGGGCTTGGAGTCCAAGTTTGGATGGGGACCTGGACCCCTTGATAGGAGAGTGGTGGGTTGGTCTTGCTTATGCCTGGGGTACAAGCAGGGCTTGTATTTCTGGGTACCCAGCTGGGATACATTGGTTCATGAATCACCGTGTGATACGGTACGGCTTGGCTACGATCTAGCACCGTAGTAAGAACTGAAAGGTGAAAGGGAATGATTGCTAATGAACTAATCATGACTGCTAATAAAACACATACATAATGATTCACTACTATACTAGTAATGATTTTCGTAAACAAAAAGGAAACCCAGCAAACTATAAAGCTTATCATATCCTTTGTTGTCGGGAAATTATTCCCACTAGTCGGGTAAGTCTTGCGAGTATATTGTGTACTCAGGGTTTATTTACCCCTGTTACAGGTGCAGCTTGGGGAGTGGCTGTTGTGTGGAGGATTCTTCTGGTGGTCCTTGTATCTTATCGTTAGATGTTTATTTAAATTCCGCTATTTAAATTCTGCATTCTGAACTTGGTATTGTAATAATGTATTTTCGAGAACTATTATTGTATGAAATGGACTAAGTGATATAAACTCGTTCTCATTATTGGATTCTAGATGAAAAATGTGGATTGTTCGAGTTCTCCCTTGGGGTGTGCTTGACGGAACCGTCCGATGTAGCCAACTTTTGGGGTGCTTAGTGTCTGGTGGAAGACGAGCACCTCCGAAAGCGTGCTATTTCGGCGGTTCTGCCATAGGTGGTATCAGAGCCAATAATGAGTTATGAGTTTCATAACTCTGTTTAAAACCTAAAATTTGACCAACAAAAGTTTTACGAAAAGTAGGATGTGATAAAATTATGTAAATAAGTCTAAGCCCTAGTAATATGGTCTATCTAGGATAGCGGCACTGGTTTTATCTAATCAATTTTCTGTAGGTACACTAACTTACGCTGCGTAAGAATCATTTAGCAAGCGGAAAGTGAGTGTGTGTTGCGCCACAAGGTGGTCAACGGTCTCTGCGGCATTGCGCAGACCGAACGGGATCGCTGTCTGGGCGCTCTGGATGAGGTATTCCGGGGAGAGCGGCTCTCCTCCGGCAAGCTACGTCATGACATCGACGAACGAGAAGGTGAAGCTACATAGGTCCTCCTGGGACGGTCGGGGTCACAGGAAGGCGCCGAGTTGGCGCTTTAGCCTCCCATAATTGAAGCCGAGGAGTTGGTCGCTCCCGGGAGCACGGGCCTCCGGTGCGTGCAGCTGTAGCTCCTCAAGTGTCTCAGCGATCGCGTCGAGGCCAACAGAGTGGAGAGGCTGGACGGCAGCAGGAACTGTGCCAACTCTCCCTCCATCGTAATGATGAAGTCCAGGTTCCCGAAGCGCACGTGCGCACCCGGGACCCAGCTGACGCCGTGACTAGCCATCCGAGGCCTCATGTGGACGTCGGGACACGCAAAAAACCCCTACCTGGCGCGCCAACTGTCGGTGTTTTCGGACCACCGCCCAGTAAATTTGTATTTACACGTTTGGCTCGGATGATGTGCTAGGAGGATACAAGGGTTTATACTGGTTTGGGCGGAATGTCCCTACATTCAGTTTGCTGCTGCTCGTGTTACCGGCACTTGGTTTACAGTAGAGGTTACAAACAGGCGAGAGAGAGAGAGGATCCCAAGTCTCTAGTGGAAGGAGTGAACGTGTGCTCGTGTCATGCTCTTGTGTCAAGATCCTCCCTTTCATGGGGCTCCCTGCTTCCCTTTTTATAGGCGAAGGGAAAAGCGTGTGTTATAGAGGAGGAAAAGGAGAAAAACGAGAGAGAAGAAGGCTTTCAGGGTTGCTGGGTCCTTCTTCTCCATCATGCGTGTCTCGCCGATCCTGTAGATGTCAACAGGGACAGCTCCATGTCGTGGCCATGTTTGTCACTGGCGCCATGTGCAGGCATCATCTGTCGATCATGGAGTTCTACTCTGTCCCGACGAACATCGTGGTGAACTAACGCACCTGTCAGCGTCCGTACGAAGATTAGGCAGAACAACACTGGCACGTCCGACACTGTTCTTGGTGTGAATCCCTGTTTTTGATGTGAATCCTTAGGTATGGCCCGTCAGGGCCATGGGTTACATCAAGACATGCCAGCCTCTTCCCTAGCGTCAGAGTTTTGACCCAGTCCCATACGCTTGGACCTGGGGTGGTTGGCGACGGTATGGGTCCCCGTCGGACGAGACGGAACCCGCGTCCTTGAGGTTGGATGAGACGGAGCCCGTGATCTTGGGCGAGACGGAAACCGCGTCCTTAAGGTCGGGTGAGACGGAGCCCGCGGCCTCAAGGTCGGGCAAGACGGAGCCCGTGGCCTCGAGGTCGGGCGAGACGGAGCCCGGGGCCTTAGGGTCGGGCAAGACCTTTTAATACGTCTCGAGCCATCCGAAAAAGTCAGCGTGGGCGCTAACTTTCTTGCTTTAGGTATCCCTAATATAGATACCCGATAATTCACCTTTGGACATGGGATCCACAAGTATATATAAGCACACTAATATACACATAGTAGATGGCTGTCATATTAAATCATCTCCAACAAATTTCAAACATTTTCTGCTAAAAATTTTAAGTGTGAAAGCAAGATTTTACTTTAGAGTCCTTTATTTAATGTGGGCCCTACATGTGTATATATATAGCAACACCAATTTGTTTTGGTCGATTGTCATATTGAATCATCTCCTAGTTTTGGCCGGCCTTCAAAATTTGAATGTATGAATGTTCTTAATTATAAGTTTCACCTTTTAACATGAGGCTATATGTATATATAGCCATGCTAATCTGCATAAAGTAATCGACTGTCATATGAGTCATCCTAAATAATTTTAGTTTTTTAATCTTAAATAATTTTAGTTAGTTTCAATAAAAATTTTAACATGTCAACGATATGTTCTTCTAGCTTTAAGCATGAGGTCGGCTAGGCAAGCACGAGGGACGCTTGGATGTTGGGACTGACAAGCCGGGCTTCCATTCGCCAGTCTGCAACCCCGAGCTGGCTGCGCCGTCATGTCGTCCCCTCCGCTCTCTAGCCACGCCAAACTCCCCACCACCGGCGCCTCCGCGTGCCACCCCCGCCCGCGTGACCGTCACCTCCTAGTCCGCGGTTGGTCCGTCGCCGCCGCTACGCCTCTCGTGGCCACGTCCTCCTCCTCGGGCCCCGCCTGCTGCCATCACTACTCCGTGGCTACCGCCCCCTCCCTGCGCGCCTCCTCCTTCGCCTCCCCACGGCGCGCAGGCGGCGCTGGCCTCGATGCCCTCACCGTCGCTGCTTCCGCGGTACGCTCCCTTGTCCCCGCTTCACCTCGCGGCCCTAATCCATCTCAGTTGTTACTAGCGACACAGCGAGCATGTAGGTTCAAGTATCCACTGACTACCGTATGAACATCGTTCAGACAATGAGAACTGAAATATGAATGCGGGTTTAATTGTGCGTAAAAGGCTTGTGGAGACGAGTGTCTACTCAATTTCTTCTACAGTGGAGTATTAAACAACTACCCGGATAGACATAGATCGGATTTTATTGATAGGTCCAAATTTGGCATGCTTAATAGTATCTGTGAATTGTTGGAGTTATCATCCACATGACACGAAGCTGTAAGTTCTCACTTTTGTAAATTCAACTTCAATAACACGTGGAAGGTGCAGTTGGAGAAAACTCAATACTGTTTACACTGTGATGGATGGTGTTTCATAGTCTGCACTCTGCTATATTCTCATATGTATGAGTACTACTAGTTTGCATATGCATAATTTGAGAAGGTTAGTGTTTCTGTATCATAGTTGCTACCTTACACAGGTTGCAGTATCTGCGTGCTTGATATTCTTTTCGGCGATTCGCTCCATGCTGGTACGTTGCCTTTTTGTTACAACTTCTCATTTGAGGAAGGTAACTATCATTGATGAGCATATGTGAACCATTTTCAGGCATGTAAGAGGGATGCAGAGTTTCTCGAGAAGTACTTTGATTCAGCAAGAGAGAAACTACCAGAAACTATGGCTTCAGTGAGACTGGTTGGGAGGGAGATCGGTGATTTGGCTGCAGATCTTAGTGATCTAAGGTAACTTCACACTTTCTTCAGTTATTGGTTGTCAGAGTATCTTTTGATTGTATCCATGTTATGCAATTGTTCAACTTGACTCTGTAAAATGATTCTTCACATGATACATGATGTGACAGTATGTTTATATTGAGGAAAATGTAGCAATATTCTTGCCTTGGTGATTTCCTAGAATTTGAGGAGATAGATTGTGGTAAATTGGATGCATCGTTGTGCCCTAATTTACCAGATTCTTCATATATTGTTGCTTAATTGCCAGTATGTTTATATTCTCTAAAGGATCTACATGGGAAGAAGGTTGACAATATCTGGAGGAAGTATACAGTTTTACCACGAGTTATCTCTTTTTGATGCATTTTTCATGAATTTAGCAATTTGGTGTGCTGATTCAGCATCACTTACCCTCTTTTTCGTTTCTTGTGCATGTCCATGAAACAAAAACAACCATGCTGGCATTGTCTGGATCAGCCAAGAATTGACAAAGGGCGTAAAAAGTTCCATGAGCATTATTCACACGGCCGAGGCACAACTTCGCCAGTCGCCACCCTCTGCCCTGCCAGGTGAACTCCAGTTTGGTGCCAATAACTTACGAGATAACCCAAGCAATTATAACCTGGGATTTTACTAGGACCTGCACGGAGAATGTCTAATCAGAAGAACGTGGCAGAAGAGCCGTTGCTGGCTAGCACTGTACGAGATCTGCGTCAGTTGATTGCAGATATCCGGTCAGGATTTGGAGCAGCGGCTGGCATCGCCGGCCTTTCCATGTGGGCGTTGAAAATTGGCTCAAAGGGCCGCAAAAATCGCTCATAGGGTACAGGAACGTTGACGACGAGGAACTAGTGCTGACCTCGTCTTGCTGTTGCTCCAAGCATGCGCTTTGACAAACGACCCATGTAGTTCTTTCAGATGTGTTAGGTTGTTCAGGTGTTGTATAGTATAGTTTCAACTTTCAAGTAAGTGTATATTTGGTTGTAATCATGGCTGAACACTTTTACTAACGATAATGATACAATTAAGACGTCTGGATGGACGAACGCCTCACTCTGCTCACTCCCGCACCTAAAAAATCTTATCCCTCGCTTCCTCCTCCCATCCACGCTCGCGCCCTGCCCCATCCCGATGCGTGTCATGGCTGCCTCCTTGGTCGCCGCCGGTGCCCTCCCCCACCCTAGCGTCCTCACCCACCGGGAGCACCCAATGCCCGTGGATCCGGTGACCCTCTCCCCCACCCCGGCGAGACCCATGGAGCATGAGCGAGATCCATGGAGGTGGCGCGATGATGTTGCAGGAGAGTGGGCGGCTCCTCCCCCCCCCCCGGCGCCCTCCCCCCCGTGGTGCCCTCTCTCACCCCGGCTGGCCAGAGCTCCCCCACCCCGCGCCAAGGCACTCTCGACCCCATCCCCCACACCGTGCCACAGAGCCAAGCCTAGTATCTTGGTGGTGGTGGTGCTGCACATGTGTGACCGCTTGCATTGCCTCTCAAATTCTCGATGACTGAATCAACCGGCCAGCCTTCCCCTCCCATATGTTGCATATGTATGTTTCAAGTGTTTCAGGCGTTTCAGATGTATGTTGCAATTGTTTTGTATGGATGTTGCAAAAGTAGATTGGGGGATGTTGCATATGTTGTAATTGTTTCAGAGGCATGTTGCAAGCGTATATTTTAAGTGTTTAAGATGTATGTTTCATCTGTGTTTTTCGGACACATGTTGCAAATGTGTTTATTTGGATGTTGAATATGTTTCACACATATGTTGCATGTGTTTTTATTTGGATGTTGCGTATGGTTGCAATGGTTTTCAAGTGTTTTTGGGTGTTTTTTTTTCAAGTGTTTCAGAAGTATGTTTCAAGTATTTAACGTATGTTGAAACTGTTGTATTTGGATGTTTCAAAATAGATCGGGTGTTGCACCTCTCCGCCCCACCCTCTGCTACATCGTCTCGCCGGCAAGGCATCATACGACGCCGCGCCCGGATCCTTCCGAATCGGAGGCATTGGGCACCCTTCCCCTCTTGTCATTCGAGCAGCGCAAGCCCCACGTGGAGCGGGCGAAACTAAGTGTAACGTACGGACATCCGTCTGGACGCTACCGCTACCGTTTTACTAACAAGTCTTGTCTGGACGCGTCGGAGGCTCCTCCCAGCATAGCCCTACCTTCCCTAATGCATTCGGCATTTGCGAAATTGGGACTTCTGATGTCACTGTGTCGGATTGCTCACTCATCGGTTCGAACGTCTGTGCACAACGCAACGATTGGCTTCCAAGCGTATGCATGTGCATGGCCCGCAGAATCGAAGCATCACACCCTTTTTTCAGATGCTTTTCCCTCTCCTAAGACTGCCTCCAACAGCCCGAACCCAAATACGGGATCCATTCGTTGGTTTAGGTCGTCCACAAGGAAAAGGTCGCACACCCAAAACTTCACGTTTCCAACAACGGACGCAAAAGTCCAACGCAGAAGGCCGCCTAGCCAAACGCCGCTCGCTCCTCGCCCATGCGGCGCTCCTCGCCAATGGCGACTTGAAGGCTGTCCGCCTTGTATTTGGCCATGTTCATCGCCATCGTCAGGAGGAGCTTGAGGAAGAAGGGAGTGGTATGTCGGCGTTGAGGAAGAAGAGGAGGGTCCCGGCGGCCACCACCGCATGCGACTAGCTTCACAACATATAAGCTCGGATCTAGCCCCACCCTCACCACCGACTTGGACTGGCGTCCTTGTGCGCCGACGAGATCTAGACTTCGCCGCCACCGCATGAAGCTCGTCGAACCTCTCACCTGCCAACCTGGCGGTCGAGCTGGTCCCACAGCGAGCTCGTCCTCCAGCCCCAGCCAGCGCCCTCTGCTTTACCGCCGCCACCAAGAAGAGGAGGAAGAGAGGAGCGCACCTTCGCCGCTCATCGTCCATGTCAGCTGGACCTCCTACGTGGTTGTCCCCGTGGCGGATGTATCGACGGGGCGTCGGTGGATGACGTGACGACGGCGGCGGTGGCTTCCAGCTGAGGGACGCTGAAGGAGAGGTCCGCGTGGTATGGCGCGATCTGCCACAAGCGCTCCCTCAAGGCCAATCCGTCTACGAAATCGTTTTACCCCGCGGGTGAGTCGGCAACAGCGGACGCGTGAATCCCGCAGCGAGGATTGGGACTTCTGATGTCACTGTGTCAAGCCCGCCGGTGGAGGAAGCGATCACGGCGTCCGTCATCGGTTCGAACGTCTGTGGGCGTGGAGGGAGGGGAGCAACAAGGGATTGGAGGAAGAAGCGCCGCGCCTGTGCCGTGGCGTCGTCCGCAGAATTTGCGTCGTGGAGAGATCACGCTTATTTACGTTCTTTACAGATGCTTTGGGTACTCTCCTTCTGTTGGAGCCGCTTTCACCTAAAATAATGTGGAGGACATATTTTGCGCCATGCCGCAGCTTTGGAATCAATTCCATGACTAGAAGTTTAAAAGCAAAGCTAACACGAAAAAAACAAAGCGTGGTAAAGCAGCACCCTATGAGCCAACGAATCTCTCACACCATCGTTTTCACTGGCCCGCGTCACCGTCCGACGACCTCCTCACCTTTCCCTCTTCACGCAAATGGCGAAAACGTCGGTGGAGTTCTGTGTGATCTCCGCTCGCGGCCTGGGCCGCAGATCGTCGCTGCTCAAACCGCAGTGGTTCTCCGTCGCATGGGTCGATCCCAACAGCAAGTACTGCACCAAGGTGGATGCGTCAGGGAGCTCTGACCCAAGCTGGGGCATGAAGTTCTCGGTCTCGGTTGACGAGCATGATCTGAGCAGCCTTCAGCAGATGGTGCTGACGGTAGAGGTGTACAGGAGAGAGCCCATCTTCCTCAGGGAGCACCTCCAGGGAGCTGCCGTTGTCCAGATGGAGGAGTATTTCGACAAATTTGAGCATGGCGAGGAGCAGCCTGGCGTCGTTGAGGAGACTGCATGCTTCCAGCTTAGGAGGAAGAAGTCAGACAAAGCTCATGGGTTTGTCGACATATCCATCCGTATCTACAAGGAGGAAGATGTTCATGCTCAGTTTTCAGGTAAACAGAAACCTATGCTTTTTCTTTCAAGATAAAACAATATGAGGTGGCCAAAGTCCATTGCGCTTACAGGAATTCAGTACAACACTTGAAAAACAGATCTTTCTATAGGTAAATTTGTACACAAACAATACAAAGTTATGTTTAACCAATACGATCAGTGTACAACTGAATTCAACTTATCTGCCTCTGTTGTGAATGTGCAGGATCACACGACGGATCAAAGCACCCAAACCAGGTTGGCATCACACTAGCTATAGAAGATGGTCCAGTTTATAACTATCCACCACTGCCCTCAAGCCATTATAGGGATCACAGCAAAGGTGGTGATCGCTACAGCAACACAATGCTACCAAGCCCTACCACTAGGCCAGATCCATCACCCTCAGGAGGTAATGGCTATAGCAAACAACCCCCACCAATCCCACAAACCCTGCCACCTCCCACTTCAAACCCCAGTTACTTTTCCCCACCGTATCCTGCGAGGGGGCAAGTGCCACAGAGCTACATAAATATGCCACCAAGAAGGTTTGCAGGTCAGAACAGTTCATCTAACCTTGGAATGGGGCTTGGGGCTGGAGCACTGGCCGCTGGAACCCTGATATTTGGTGAAAATTTGTTGCCAGGACCAAATTTTGGTGCTGGTCTTGATGGTGCGAGCTTAACTTTATCTTCTGATGCACCATTCTAAGTTATGGGCTACTGTCAGTCGTGTGCTTGTGTAACCAATTGTGTAGCACAATTTGAAAAGTCATGAGCATTCTGCCAGATACATTGGATTTATTTTGCTCAGATGGCTGCACTCCTTCATCCAAACCTATTAATGTGTGCAACATTATATAATCATGTCAGACTCAGGGTGTCCCCTATCCCCACTAACAAAAGTATGCATCATTGTTCCACTTCCATTATTCTCTCATCCGACCTCAACCCAGCTGCAACCAGCTGCCTTCTGCACCCCTTGGCGTTTCATCTCCTCTCTCACCTCTTCAAGCTCCTCAAAGTTTCCGTCCCAACCATAAGTGTTGGCGAGCAGAACCCATCCCCCGCTCCCTGATTCCTCTGCCATCATCAACATCCTAGCTGCCTCTTGTGCTCTCTCCTTATCACCATGCATCCGGCATGCCGCAAGGTATGTCCTCCATGCACCGGCACCAACATCACCAGCCTCTTCTATTACCTTTCTTGCTTCATCCAACCTCCCTGCTCGCCCAAGCATGTCGGTGACGCACGCATAGTGCTCTAGCTGTGGCTCCAATCCAAACTCCTCTTTCATCCTCTTTAGGAAACCCTTCCCTTCCTCGAGAAGCCCAGAGTGGCTGCAAGCCGACAATGCTCCCAGCAGCGTTACCTCATCTGGAACCAGGCCTTCTTCTATCATCTGGTGGAACAACATCAGTGCCTCCTGCCCACTCCCATGTGAGGCATACCCATCGATCATAATGTTCCACGATGCCACATCCCGTTGGCGTGTCCAATCAAACACACGACGAGCATCATCCAGCCCACCGCTCTTCGTGTACATGTCCGCCAGCGCATTGCAAGCAAAAACGTCCAGTGCTCCATCACTGGCCAGCCCGCTCGTTACAATGTATCCATGCACCTCCCTCCCAACCTGCAGGGCTGCAGTCTGCGCACATGCGGGGAGAACAGCAGCAACAGTCACTGCATCAGGCAAAAGTGCAGTACGTCTCATCCTCGCAAAGAGCCTCATCGTCCCCGTGTGATCAGCCGAGTACTGATGCGCTGACAGCATGGAGTTCCAGCTGAACAGATCCTTATCAGTATCTGGCAGCCCCTCAAACACCATGGTTGCATCGTGCACCTGGTGGCACTTCCCGTAAAGATCTATCAACGCATTGCACACAGATGCCTCCTTGTCAAATCCTGACTTCACCGACAACCCGTGTACTGCAGCCCCGCGCCCCAAATCGGCTGTTGCTGTACACACGGACAAGATCCCGGTGACTGTGAAGCTGCTGATCTCCACCCCACCCTCCTCCCTCATCTTCCTGAAGCACTCCGTGGCGCGGTCAAAGCACCCGAGTTTCACGAACCCATTGACCATGGAGTTCCACACGACGACATCCCGGTGCCTCAATTCGTCGAACAGGCGGTGCGCATGGTCAGCGAGACCGAACCTCAGGCACCCGCACGGAGCAGAGCGCTGGCGCAGAACAGGTCGTGTGCGAGGCCGAAGCGGAGCGCGAGGGCATGGAGCGCGAGCAGGTTCGGCGAGGCGGGGGCCGAGGCGAAGAGGGGCGGGAAGGAGAAGGCGTCGGGGGAGTGCGCGGCGAGGAGGCGGCGGAAGAGCGGGAGCGCGAGCGCGTGCGGCAGGGAGAGCGCGGCGTTGAAGCAGGGCAGCGGGGGCGGCGCGGAGGCCGGGAGGAGGAGCGGGACGGCCGGGTGCAGCGCGGCCGGGCCGCGAGCGTAGAGGGAGACGAGGGACGTGATCACGGCGGGGGACGCGGCGAGGCGGCCCGACACGACCAGGTGCGCGTGGAGCGGGAGGAGCAGGCGCGCGGACGAAGGGCCCGCGCGGGAGAGGATGGCGTGGAGCGGGACGCGCAGCGCCGCCATGTCCCGGCGGGCGGCGAGGCAGCGGCTGCCGAAAGATGGCTGCCTGCGGCGGGCCGCGCGGGAGTACACAAGCCTTCGCCCGCGCGGCTCGCATTCGCAACGCGCTTGCCGTTCGCTCGTTCGCTCCCACGGCTTCTCGGCCCTATAGTTTGCTCGATTTGGGCCGTTCCGGCGGCCTGGAAAGCGTTAGCAAAATGGGCTAAAGGAGGAGAAATGATTGGAAAAGATCCGGGTGCCGCCGTGCCGGTGGTGGGGGGATCTTGCGGTGGCGGGTGACGACGGACAGGAGCTCCTGGTCCTGGATCCGTGCTCCCGTAGCCTCCTCCTTTGCAGGCGCCAACAGGCTGTGTCCGGGCGGGTGGGAGTGGAAGTGGAGTGGGAGGGACCCCTTGGAGCTGTGTCTGTGGGCGCCGCGACAAGCTGACAGCACGGTGCGTGGCAAGTGGCATGGCATGGGCGGGCACTGCTGCGTGTTGCTACGCATGGCGTCGGCGCCGAGGCATCGCATCTAGCAACATGTCCATTGTCGCGTTCTTTCCTCGTGTCATCCTGTACGTACGTACCCCGAATAGCCGCGAGGAGCGGCGCTTGCTACCGACCGCGCCGTAGCTTGCTTGGCGGCGCACTGGCGCGGTTGGACGGCGGCCGGGCCGGTCGGCGCGACGCGGGGCGCGCGCGAGCACCTTGGCTTGGCCGCCCCCTGCACCCGGATCCTCCCGGTTCGCTCAATCCCAAGTAACATGCGCGAGACTTGGGCTGCTGCTCAGCCCACTACCCATCCGTTGCAGCGTACGGCAAATGCCAGCCATACCGTGGCAGTATCCTATGCTCAGCATCAGCTCCGTCGTCGATTCCAGTCCGCAGAAACTAGTGGGAAAGTACAAGCCGGAGTGCCGCCGTCTGTCGAGGCTGGTGAGGCCAAGGGAGCAGTGATGAGAGGACAGACATGATAGGGTCACGGCTCACGTATAGATCGGCACTCGGCAGGCAGTGCAGGCGAGGCGGCGAGCATTGGTCCCCGTGGTGGAACATGTCATCGACCCATCGTGTGCCAGCCTTCCGCGCATAGGCTCTCCCCCCTCCCTCCCACAGGGTCCGTGTGCGCCTTTGGCCTTCCTGATTCCATCCTAGGGGCGAGCAAGAGCAAGTTCCTCCCCAGTCTCCACATCACGGTTCACACGGCGTTCACAGTTCTTGCTGTTGTTTGCCGTTCTCTATTGTAAATCTTGTGTGGGAACGCTGTTTCCTGTTTCTCTCGAAAGCATATTGTTTTCTGAAGCGGAGCAGCCGAGAGGACAATAAGCTTTTCTTTACCGATCGGTCATTGGCCTAGAGTGACGATCGTACAAGTATTCAACGGTCAGCTACTAGGAATAGCCCTCTTTCTTGTGTTGCATGACGAACTTCCTTGCTGAAGTCAAAGACCTCCTAAAAGAATTGTCTGTGATGGGAGAAAAGATGTACTTACGTGAGATCACTACCGGACTCCTTGAGTTTGCCGAGTGCCCGAAACACTCGGCAAATGGTTCGTCGAGTGTAACACTCGGCGAACAGCACTCGCCAAAAACAGTGATGACAAAGCCAACTTTGCCGAGTGTTTTTTATCGGACACTCGGCAAAGTTGAAACAAAAAAAAACCCGAAAAAATAGGAATTTTTACCAAAAAAATAGAAATTTTTTTATCGATGGAGGCCCCCACCGGCCAGCGCCCACCCATCTACGACATTTTTCGCGTGAATTTCATGGCTACGCGGCCGACGCGATTCGAGCCCGAGAACCTCCCGCTGTGCACGTATCTCCTCTACCACTACACCACACTTTCACTTGTGTCTGGATTCCGTTTTAGTTCCCAATATATTATACTAAATCGAGTGTAAATTACATGTTTGAGGTCCTAAACGAATTCAAATAAAAAAATTGTAAACTACAAAGTTTCATAACTTTTCGAGATCTACACTTTTTGTTTAGGAAGTTTTTTCATCCGAGGTCATTTACAAAATTTGAATTTTAAAATTTTGAAATTCAAATACAGTTTTGCATGACAAGATGTTTTCAAATCAAAAAGTTGTTAACTACAAAGTTTCATAACTTTTCGAGATCCTACACTTTTAGTTTAGGAAGTTTTTCCATCCGAGATCGTTTACAAAATTTAAATTTTAAAATTTTGAAATTCAAACACAGTTTTGCATGACAAGATGTTTTCAAATCAAAAAGTTGTCAACTATAATGTTTCATAACTTTTCGAGATCTACAGAGTTTATTTTGGTTGTTTTTTTATCCGAGGTCGTTTGAAAAGTTCGAATTTTAAAATTTTAAAATTCAAACGCAGTTTTGCATCACAAGATGTTTTCAAATCAAAAAGTTGCCAATTACAAAGTTTCATAACTTTTCGAGATCTACAAAATTTATTTTAGTTGTTTGGTCATCTATTCATCCGACATGGTCGTTCTAACATTGTTCACAATCTTATATATCTCTCTTGTAGTTTCATAAACTACAAGAGAGATATGTTAGATTAGTGAACAAATTTATTTTCACTTTGTCGTATGAAGAAAAGACCAAAACAAACATTGTACATCTTGATGAGTTATACAACTTTGTAGTTGAAAACTTTTTCATTTGAATTAATTTACTGTTTTAAAATGTGCTTTGAAATTTTCTTTGCCGAGTGTAAAAAAAACACTCGGCAAAGAAGCTCTTTGCCGAGTGTAAAAAAAAACTCGGCAAAGAGTCTCTTTGCCGAGCGTAAACTGTTATGCCATGAGTTGTGTCTTTGCCGAGTGTCGTCTTTGGGACACTCGGCAAACACCGAAATCTTGCCCACGGCAAAGGTGGAGACATTCGGCAACTTAGGTGTTTCCGGTAGTGGATGGGGCTAAAAACTTCGACATCAAATGCAGCCTACGACAGATAATTGTTAACATGTAAAACACAAACATCCATATAGTAGACTAACTAAGACGTTAACATTGTTATCTACTGACGTAGGCCCGGTTTGATCCAAGAAGGTAACAGTTAGTTGTTAATAATTAACTTATTGGATTTAAACAGGTCTAACTAATTATTAGCTGAATATTAAACTAATAACTATCTCACTAGTTGACAAAACTAGCTAATATCAGTTGTGCCCTATTAACTAGCTAAGCAGCTAATGGATACATCCAGGGCCATAGCATATCACAACAACAGCCCGTATGGACTATATAGTATACTCTCTTTGAGCTTCTAAACCTTTTCTTCTATTTTTCATGATATATAATTTCTATCCTATACTACCCTCTCTTGCTTTGGTTTCAGATAGAAATATGGTTTCCAATGCATACACTTGATATTATTTTCCTAACTGCTTGTCATGAAAATCAATATATTTCATAAAAACAATAGTATGTTGCAATTAAGGGAAAGTAAAATGATGCATGGTATTTTTCTTGAAGGAACATATATGACAAGATTCAGCAGTTGGGCTTTATGCATTAGATTTTGCTTATAGATAAGCCTATCTCGCTTCATAACAAACAAGCTTGTAGAACAGAGATATCCTAGTTTCAATACCACAAAAAATTTTGTTTTTAGGTGCATATTGTTTTGCACATTCAATAGTCGGTGTTTCAACTACTTGAACTTTGAGAGCCATAATGAAGTCGTAGGATTACTTCTGGTCCAACAGAAGAAGTATTATAGCAAGGCTTGTGCTGCTCAAAACAAAATAGTTTCCTACACTAAACTTGTATTGAGTATATATTCCTATAAATGCAATGGGCCGGGTCTGTTCGGCTGCTTTTTTTAGCGACAACAAATGCACTTGCCATTGTATCACTGTTGTAACTATCTCAAGGGTGCAACAACTGAGTTGCAAATACCAACAGCTGAACAGGCCTAACAACTATGAGAAAAATATATGGGATGAAATAAGATATTACAATATAAAAGCATGAGCATCCTCTCACCCATAAACGGTGACATTATATGTAGATGGGTAGATTGTTAGTATTAGGTAGGGTTGGACAATAAGATAAGGCGTTGCTTCTTGTGGGAGAATATATATTTTTGTTGTTGTGGCAATGGGTATTGAAATGTTAGAGAGGTTAGGCGATGAAAAAACTAAAAGCCTAGCTAGCTATGGATGAAATAAAGGACCAATCTCTACTGCAGTTCTTTCAGTAGTTAAATACTCAAACCTAAATCGCCACCAAATTACTATGCTAATATAGTATTTTCCATTCAAGTTAGTGTATCTTGTATCCACAATGCTAAATTAGCTAGTGGCCATTTAGATTGTTTGAACTAATAAACTTTGTATAGAACACTAAGCACACATTGTTTATGAGGCCATAATGCATTTCATGGATAACTAATTTGTCTGACATGATAGAAAACTATTTTTTACATAGTTGTTAATAGTTTTTTTAACAAACAAAACTAATTGCATACCTTCCGTTGATAGAGAAAATCACACAAACTAACAACTTTGTAGTTTGTTATTAAAATCCTCACATCTCCTATACTACACACTTTAATTTCATGTATCGCTTTCCACGCGTCCTTGACAAGTTTGAGGGTGTTGAGGTTGGTTTTGTGCCCTTGCTTCCTTAGAAAAGGGCATGTGGGAGGCAGACTGGGCAACTGAGGAGGTGAGTGTAGGGCAGAGGAGGACAATGATTGAGATAGAAATGACCGAAGAGTCATGGAGATGGCCTAATGACCTCAGGTTAACACGGGAGAGGGGGAGGGTAGTGGTCAGTGAAGGCAGACTCAGCGGCAGGGGTGAGAGACAACCGGTGGTAGGGGGTTGCGAGATTGAGAGTCCGTGCACTACAACGAAGAAGAGGCAGAGACTAAAAAAGAACAACACAACCTAAGCTGGAAACAATTGAATTTAACATCCGATGACTCCTATTCATCACATGAAAATAATAAAAAAAGATGCGCCTAAACAATAATTGTTCTCTTAACATGCTGACTAGACATGATGGTGACAGCTAAAAAAGAAAGATAACATT